TTTTATGTTTTCTTTGAAGAAATGTCTATTCAGTTTCTCAGCCCTATTTTTAATAAGCTTATTTTTTACTTGGGGTAGTGTTTGGTATTGAGTTGTAGAATTTCTTAATATGCTTTCATATGAATCCTTTATCAGATATATAGTTTGCAAATATTCTATAGTTGGCCTTTTAATTTTTTTATTTCCTTTCCTATGTGGAACCTTTTTAGTTTTATGTAGCATCATTTCTTTTTTGTTTTTGTTGCCTGTACTATTAGTGTTATATTCAAGAAATCATTGCCAAAGCCAAAAAAAAAAAATTCTGTACTTCACTAAAGATGCTTTTTCACTCAACAGTATGCTGTTTTCTCAAATATAATAAAATGATACAATTAAAATGTCTAATTCCTGAATAATTTTTTAAAAACACCATTTTTATCAGCTATAGTAAAGCACTTCAGCTATTAACGGCTGAACACTTGTTAAAAATGTGAGAGGCTGATAGGTACCCTAAAGCCTATTGGTTTATATATTTTGTTGCAACAAGAACATTTCTTCTATTACTAAATTTGTAAATCAAGAGTTCAAGTATAATTGTTAGCAAGCAAGACAGGGCAGAAACTTGGAGAATAAATGGCTATATAGTACTAATAGGGCGCAAATTTTCTGTCAGGAGCTGTGAACCCCTAAGCACACCTTGTACTACATATGTTACAGGAGAAGGCTACTCCATAATGTTTATAAGCTAGTGGGCCCTGGAATGTTTAACTTGACAACAGATGTTAGACTCTTAAAGCACCATTTAAAAAATAGAGTCATAAGACATTCTCAGGATATATTTTTTAAAATTTATTTATAATATATTTTAATTTTTCAAGATATAACATAATGTGTAGAAAATAATAATCTATCTACATGGTAGCTGTAAAAAGGTTGGTATTTTAGAACAGAAGATTTTAAGCTTATTGTTCATTTTATTGCATTACCAATGATCATAGATATAATCTATGAGCAAGACAGGATCCTTGTTGAGCACAGCATCTCTTAAATGTAATGTCTCTTTTTATATAGAGGCGTTATTCCTTCCAAGTTGCCATATTCTTCAAAAGGCACTTAGCAAAGCCATTGGAATTTGATACATTTATGTACCTAGGAGCAGTATCTGTGGAAAAGTCTTCTTTAAATTAGTTGGATTTTCTATATGAAGCAATGTAAAAGGGAAGATTTTATTCAAATAAGGGCATTTTTATGATGAACAATAATAGTTTTGTGGCTGTTTAAATAGCTGTGAGGTAACTACTTATTTTAAAATATTCTTCCCTATATTTCTCTTTAAATATCCTATTACAAGTAGAAGTTAAAATTTACATTCAGGTTGTTACCAGTACTCTAATACCTCCTAATGGATCACTATTTCATTGGTAAGCAAACATTGGCTAAGATTTAGCAAAGCTATTGGACCAGATAAATCTGTTATCCAGGGGCTGTTTTACATTTTTCATAAATAACATTGTTTTTTTGCACTTTTTTATTTAAAGAAAGACAAGACAAAATAGAAAATGGGCACAAATAGTACACTTTCAAAGAAAAGAATAAACAGTAATAAATCACTAGTTGATGTATACATATTGTCTCCCCACAAATATACAAGATATTCAAGATATACAAATATTCAAGATATACAAGTGGAACATATAAATGGGGATTCAACCAGGGAGTCTGCGAACAGTTTTTAAACTTCAATATTTCTTGTCCAAATCAAATTACAAGCCCAGGTATAAAACAAATACTAGACAAGAAGCTGTAGTTGGAAGGATGAAATAGGCTTAAGTACTTAGGGCCTTTCCAGCTTATCTCCTTTAATTTCCTTTTCCTCTATTTCTACCACCAGAGAATGTTTCAAAAAAGGATATTGAATTGAAAATATAATATGTAAATCAAATGATGATGTGTGGAGGAAGTGTATCTACAACTATCTGTGCATCTGTGTGATACCAAATGACTATCCATATGGTAACCTACGTATAATCCCTAAGTCAGTCATGATTCTGATTTCTTATCTATGCTTTTTTCTTTTCATTTTTCCCTTTCCTACATGTCACTTCACTATCTCTCAGGCCCACTCCTGCTGCCGTTCCCACCCCCACAGTCAACACACACATACAACCAGTGCCAACTTTAAACACATCTTATAGAGGCCAAAGATCAGATCAAAAGTAAATTTTAGTGTAATAAAATGCTGAATCCATTACTATGGTTTCCTCTCTCAGAAGTCTCCTCTTGCTATATGAACTTGACCATTGTCTCTTTTCTGGATAGCACTTATATTCTCAGTATTATCACTTTGTTACTCTCTGTCTTTGTCAGTCCACTGTTGCCTATAGTTCCTTTTTTAAAATATTTGATTAAAGATGTGTATATTAAACAAATATTTAATATGCTAATGGTACATAATGAATTAATTTCCTCTCCCTCATTATATATATATATATGTATATATATTCATATATATAGATTATATATATCCATATATATCAATAAATTTAGGTACATAATACAAAGAATTAAGTTCTGTTGTACTCTAGTAATAGGAATTGTTCAGAATTTTTTTATAAATACTATACAATTTAATGATCACATACTGATGATAAAAACTTAAATTTATGTGTTAATCCAAATTTTTATATCTCAAGTTCATTATTTTCCAAAATCTGAAAATCAGACTACCATTGATAAAGGATATGATTTTTAGGTGATGAGTAAGACAGTTCTAGGTGACATAGAAATACCTACTGTTTTAATATAATTAAGTTTTTGGTACATCTTAGATGTACATAATGATCATATTCATCATAGGGAATTTATACCTGAACATGATCTATTTTAATTTCTGTATTTTGCCCAATCTCTTCTGCTCCCTTGAACCCATCTTCCTCTCCTTATTTACAAAGCTTTGTTTCCATTTTATCCTTTTTTAAACTTTTTTTCCTTCTTTCCTTTTCCCCTTCCCTACCATAGCTCCTTTTTCCTTTTGAACAGTTTCTTCCCATTTCACAATATCTATTGTGTATTTTGTTTTTTATTTACTCTGTCACTTTATTATATCAGGGATACAATGATGTTTATACATGGAGTCTAATTTATTTCACTTAGGAGTATATTCTTACATTGCATCCATTTACCTAGATATGCCTCAAGTACTTCAGGCCCTTCCTTCTTTATGACCAAGGAGTACTACTCCATTATATTTAAAAGAAATCTTCTTTATCCATTCTTTGATTGATGGGCATTGGTTGTTTCCATGATTTAGCTATGACAGACAGTGGTGCTTTAAACATGGGTACAAACATTCTCAGGCAACTTATATTTGACAAAGGTGTCAAACTGGGATAAAAGATAGCCTCTTAAATAAATTATGCTAGAAAAATTGGCTTTCCACATGCTGAAGACTAGACACATGTCTGTTGCCGTCCACTAAACTAAAATTGAAATGGATCAAAGACCTATACACTAAAACAAAAATAATAAATCTGCTGATAGAATAGACACAGCTCTTGAAGACATAGGTATAAGCAAAGATTTCATGAACAAAACCCAGTTTCACAGGAAATATTACAAAGGATCAATAATTGAGATCTAATCCTACTGAAAAGCTTTTGCACATCAAAAGAAATCACCAAGAGAGTGAAGAGACAACCCACAGGATGGGAAAATTTTAGCTAGCTGTCCTTCAGACAAAGGACTTATATCTAGAACATATAAAAAACTAAAAACAACCATATCCTCAAAATTTAAAGACCAATCCAAAAATGGTTATCTGAGATGAATATGCACTTCTCAGAGGAAGAAATACAAATGGCAAATAAGTATATGAAAAAATTTTTCATTATCATTGGTTATTAGAGGGATGCAAATTAGAACAAGGCTGACCTCGCTCATCAAAAAATCTACCAATAACAAATGCTGGACGATCTGTGGGGAAGAAGAAACCTTTCTGTACTGTTTATGGAAATGTAGTGCAACCACTACAGAAATTAGTGTGGAGATTTGTTAAGAACCTAGATTTTTAGAGGCCCTATTTGACCCAGCTAGTCCTGTTATGGGCATCTTCCCAGAAGAATTAAAACTATCATGCCACAGTGATGTATCTACCATTTAATGACCCTAAACTCTATACTCATTGTTAAATTGTCTTTTGATTCATTTGAAATACCTAGAAAAATCCTCACTAAACTTCTTTATATAAAAATGAGTGTATATAGTCTGTACTACAAAATTCACAGAGGCAATTCTGGAATTACTTAATTTTGAAAAGTTGAATTTGCTCATTTTCTCCACATAAAAATTTAGTTTAAATAGTATTAGCTATCCTACCATTCAGCTAGTGAAGCCAGTGCTGAAACTTTAATGATTGAATGTGACTAAACAGCATCAAACATGAACTTTCTCTTCTGACAGTGTCAAATGCTGTGTCTTCTACACCAGGGTATAAAATTTGACTTTTCTCATGAATGGTTGAGAATATGAATATGTCTATATTTAATGTAATAAGTTACTGAGATATATAAATATGTCTATATTTAATGTAATAAATTATTGGCATAAACATATACATTTATTTTGAGAAAAAATAAGTCCGTAATATATAAAAGTATATACTAAGTAGACATAATTAATTATACATAGCATATTTGCATCGAGCATCCTAGAGCTAAGGAGGATTAGTTCTTAGGAAGTAATACAGACATCCTGCTTAAAGTAAAATGCAGGTAGCAAGTTGCAATGTACTAATACAAACAGCTACATAAAAGTTTAAGTTTTGAATATAATTTTGCATTTCCATAGAAATTGATACTGTCATAATTTTATATGTACAGAACATCATTTATGACCTTATTTTAAATTATTGAGGGTAAATAAATGATATTTTGGTGAGTTCTGTAGGTTAATTACATGTGATTTGATTTCAACACAAGTAACAAAGAAATGAAACACAAAAGTGCTATATAAAAGAGTCTACAGTGCTCACCTCGGCAGCACATATGCTGAAATTGGAACAATATGGAGAAAATTAGTATGGCCCCTCCACAAGGATGATGTGCAAATTCATGAAGCATTCCATATTTTAATAAATAAATAAGTGAAAGAGATTGCATTCAGAAAATATTTTCCTAAATAGGGATAAGACATTCGCCATGAGTAGTCTAAATAATAGATCATTTTTCCTTCTTTTATTTTGGGAAGATAGTAGAGACTTGTGGATAGAAAATTTAAAGTTTACTTTTCAGTTTATTCTCAATGTTATTAAATCACACACACACACACACACACTCTATTCTTCCACTTTTAACACTTCTTACATATGAAAGGATTTTTGAAGCATGATGTAGATTTTCTTCAGATTTCCAAAATTTCAAAAGGATACTAATTTCATGAAATAAAAGCGTAACTTTCAAAGTTGTACTTCAAGAGATATTAATTAATTGCCAAGCTAAAACAAAGGAAAAAACAAAAATCTCAAAATTTTTCATGTTACGAATTTTTAAGAAGTAAATACTAGACACATGCCTGCCTAAAAGAAAATTTAGGGTGGACAGTTGTTAGCAACATAACATAGAAGTTTTCTGTGCTTATCTAAGTTCACAGAACCACTGTCAGTGTTAGGAATGTAAACTGTATCTGGACTTCAGTACTGTGATAAGACACTTTATACTTATAATAGTTTTATGCAGAAAAAATAAGTATTTATAAATGAAAGTTCAAACTTATTTTTTAAAAGGATAGAAGGTAAAGTTGGTAACATTTAAGTGATTATTTGAATCTCTCAGCAGACAGTCCAAGATCACAGTATTTTAAACCTAACAAAGTATTCTAAAACACACAAAGAGTAAATGTTGACAAAATATTTTCAGACGTGTCAAAGAAAGAATGTTACAGTCTATTCTCTCATAATTGTAATTTTAAAGTTTATATTTAAAACTCATAGTTCATGTCAGTTTGTGAAGTTTACCCTAAAAATTTACTTTCTAGGCCTGAGTTACTAGTCATACTAAGTACATTAGACAAAGTGAATAACATAAGTTACTTCAGTAATTCCAACACCTAGTGGGTGAACACAGAACACATTCTAAGGTGGTTTCAGTAATAGAAATAGCCACACATTAATTTAAGGACCTAGAGTTCTTCCATTTAGCATTCAACACTCCCATGGATTCTCTACATCTTCCACTCCACTCTGTGCTTATTTCCAACCAAAAAGAACAGGAAGAGTATTAATGGAGGCCTGTTAGTGATTTAAATCACTGGTACCCTTATTTTACGGTGCATCACTAATCATATGACCCCAGTTAGATGCCCAGTGCCTAGCAAATAATTTAGAATAGTGCTGAAAGAAGAGTTTTATACCAGGGATATGTGACACTAAGAAAATAAAATTAAGGGTTCACATTTCTGCATTCATTGTAGTGACTCAAAGTGGGCTGCGGTATCTAAAAGATATTCACGGAGAACGTGATTAACACCTTTTATTAAAGGGAGAACGAGACATACAACGAAAGTAAAGCTTATAGAATGAAAGAATGATAGGGTAATGATATCAGGATATCAGGTTTGTTGAAACCATTTGTTAAGAACAGAGTAACAAAAGAGTGTGAATATTTTTCAGGCAAAAAGTTATTATGTAAAACCAAGACAGAATTCAATTATGAGTTTATTTAGACAATCTAATATAATGAACATTCTAATGAAAGTTCTCAACCACAAGTTTTGAGAAAAGAATTGTTTCAATACTAACACATTAAAATCTGTAGTATCATAAGAAATAAAGTATTGTCACTTAGAAGGTTTCTTATAAGTGATATAATTTTAACAACATAAAAATTACCATGCAAAGAAACAATTATTAATTATTTTCAATCAGTTTATTCTCATAAAAATCAGGATCTCAGTCTTAGTTGCTAAACTTCTGATTTGGTGTTTGGAGCTCGAGATTAGGAAAACCTTCTATATACTCATTTATCATATTATGTTCTAATTACTAATTTTCTTGTCACTCAGTCATGTAAGCTTCCTAAAAGGCAAGATCTATGTCTTATTTACTGCTGTAACTTCAGTATCTAGCACAATACCAAGTATACTGTAGGTTGTTCAACTGTTAAATGCATACATTGTCTTTATGTGGAGGCTTATTCTACAGTGTTTCTAGGATTATACCCATCTTATCCTTGCAGTATCATTTTCTACTAAAATATAATGCAAAGTATAATGATAAGACATACTACACAAAACTAAGTATTTCTTTGCTTCTTGAAATTGTCAGTTAATGCAGTCATCTACTCCTCCTGTATATAGCTTTATCACTCAACTTTGAAGTCCAGAATTCCGTGATAAACCAGCACAATATGTCTCGGTTATTTACTTTTGCCCTGCTTTCTTTTAATTAAACTAGAAATACTTTAGTCTTTTTGTTCATATCATGAGTAGCCTGATAATGCTTGTAATATCATTTGTAAAATATTGCTTATATTACACAAGAATGTATATCTGGAAGAATTCAGTGGTGAATAAGTCATTATCTTCATCCTATATTCATGCCACAAAGGCAAAGCATTTTTTATGATTAGAAAGATAAAGCCTCCTTTCTACAGTGTCAACACTGCTATCCAGTACTAGGTTGTCCTTTTTGTCACAACTTAAAATAAACGAAGGCTGTCAAGCCAAGGGAATGATGGAGACTAACTTAATGTGATACAATTGATGAACTGTAAGTTGTCCCATTTTTCCTTTTGAAGCATACTGAGTAGAGTTTAGTGCTGCCATGCAGAGTATTTTGATTTATACTCTATGACATGGATATTTTTATAATAGAGATACAGAGATTAATAGAAACAGGGATTAAAGAAGCAGGGATTAATTCTTTATGGAGAAATTTATAGTTTCTGTATATTTGGCAATTTGATAGTTAGAGAAATTGATCCAGCTTAAATATATTATCTGAGCAAATATGACAAAAAAGAGGAGACAAATGTGGTCTCGTAGAGGGGTTGAGGAGTGGTTTTCAGCTTGAAACTAATACATTTGTTAAATTTTATGAATACAAACAACTCTAAATGGGAAAAAGTCAAATAAAAAATGCAAGTGTATTGTTGGGCTTGGGTCACCATGATTTTTATGAATGTTGGTGAATGTCTATGTTCTTGAAATCAGAATACATGAGAGATTCTCCAAGTAAGGAGAAAGTAGATCCTATACGCATCTCAGCATGATGAGTCTTCTTAACATATGACATATTGACAGAGCTCAGTAAAACTTGATTTTATAGTTGTTACTAGTTTCAAGGCAAAAATTGGCAACTATTGAAAAAATTTCCATTACGAGATGTATTCTTTACAGTGCTTTTCCATTAGGTTATGTCAAAAATATCATCAATACTGCTCATGCACAAAATTATGACTTCTGCTCATATATTCTTTGCAAGATATCTAGCTAAAAGAAAGGAACAAGAAAAAAATCAATATTTTCCAAACCATACTCTCATACCTTTTACTATGTTGCAGATATGTTAGGAACTATACTATACACACACTGAATAATCATTCAATGGTAGTTATAGAAGTTGGGTTTGGGATAATGGAGCTCTCAGTCATATGATCTACAGTACCAATCTCAAGATGCCAATGAGGTACATTCAATAAGGGATAAGGTATAAAAATAAAATTTTAAACACTAAATCATTACACAGTTAAACAATATATATAGAACTCCAAGTGCATCATAGACTTATTTGTGCAGTAACTATTTTTTCATCACTTTATTGTTTGTGTCTTTGTATTCTGTTTTTGGTAAGCTATTTTAGTGGCATTAAATCACATGGGCAGTAAGACTGCTAAGAGGAAGAACCAATGAGTAGCAGTGAAGGGCTGCAATGTGCATTTGTAATTAGTAGGTTGCTACTTCCTACTAAAATATTTACTTTATTATCTGTGAAAAAATATCAGGAGAAAAAAAAAAAACCTGCCTTTTGAATAGAAGCATAAGAACAGTTCTAGGCCCCGAAAAGTAAAACAAATTATAAAGTCATCTTTAAGAAAAGAAAACCTGACTGTCCAAGTAAGTTTAAAACACTGGTACAGGATCTTAACAAAATATATATTTATAAAAACAAAACTAAAACAGTTTTTCCAATTCCAATTAAGAACAGTATCAAGAGGTGTAAAAAGCTCTATAATTCAAATACACAGGCAGTTAAAGGTCAGAGATAAAAATCAAAAGGCAGACATTCCCTTATATATGAATGCTGTTAATGTTTGAAGTTCTTTCCTCTTGAGCTTCTATGAATTCATACTGTTCTGCCTCTTTAACAAATTTTGTTTGTTCTTTCTTATTGGTCCATTGCTCAACATCTGAATCTTAGTGTTTATTTTATTTATAGAAGAAATTCATATAAGAATCTCAATATATGTGAAAATTCAACACATTCATAATTTTAAAACACAATTTAGCAAAAGAGAAGTAAAAGGTACTGCTTTTCACTAATAGATATTCAAGATAAAACAGATATTCCATGTATTTATGTAGAAAGTTATAAACTTATTAAGTTATAATGTTTCATAAAGTTTTACTGAGAAATATTAATGGTAACTCAAATGGAAAGAAATATCTTCATGGACATAAAGATTTGGTTTAATAAGGTTATTAGTTCTATTTGCATTAACCTATAGACAACAAAAGTCCTGTTTGAACAGGTTTTTGTAGGTCATGAAAGTTAACTCTAAATTTTATATAGAAAAGTATCAGGACATAAGACAAAGAAGTATTAACTTTAGGTGACTTACCATTCAAGCTATTAAGAATTACAAATCTAGGGTAATTAAGAAATTGTCATATTTTATTTAAAGGGATAAATAATTATATGAAGATAATAGAATAAAAGTGGTCAACAACAGACCCATGCAGAATTAGAAACTTTATATATAAGATAGTTATATGTCATATATAGTAAATGTTTAAATTTTTAAAATATTTATGATAGTAAAAGACACATGGCCACTAATCTCCATCCCAATAGTCTCCCTTACTTCAAATACATTTATCCTGTGGTTCTTGCTATTTTCTGAGGCAATTGTGGAT